AACTTTTGAACGGTAGTGTAGATGCAGAGATTATTACTTTTAGGAAAAGCCACTAAAACCTTCTTCAAACCGAAGCATAGCGGTTGTTGTCAGCCTCCATGTTTCCTCCTGCTTCCACAGTAACTGATAAGGATTGTTGGAAGGCGATTGGTTTACCTGTCGTAAGTCGATGAAGGCCAGCTGGAGCGTGTCGCCCTGGAAGCCTGGTACGGGTTCTGAGCTGGCAAACACTGAGAACAACCAGAGACACAGCCTGACGTTAGAAATATCCAGGTTAAACAGCAAATAACCGTCCTGAAACATGGAAACCGCTGAAACGAGACTGATAAATACCTGTTGCCATGGAAACACAGGGCTTCTACACTTCTATGGCCATTTTTTTGAGAACAGAGGCCTTTAAATAAAATGTCTAAATGTTTTTACTGAATGTTGACAATTTCTGAATGGTAGAAAAATCAGAGCATCCTTCCTCATCACCTCATCAGTTTCACACATAAATGCTCCTAAAATCGAACATATTGCTGTTTTATATATAAATAACATCCATCATTTATTGTTTTAATGTCATAACGCTTCAACAAAACTGAAATATACCATAAATATATATATCATACACAAATAATATGTCATATATATTTTTTCCCAATATAACAGGAGTATAAATAAACTTAAAATCTATGAAGTGAATTTTGCTACGTCATTAAGCAATCCAAAAATGATATTTTGTTTTTCTTTCAATCAAAAAAAGGTTTGAGTTTTTTTCTCAGATACAGATTGCATATCTTCAAATTGTATGTTTTCAATTCTTCTTGTTTTCATAGTCTAATTTTTCAGTTTTATAAATTTCATTCTTTCCAAACTGTGTTTTCCAGATCATATTCCCTTCACTTCCAGCCAAATCCTAACGTTCCAGCAATAAAAATATTATTTCCAGCAGACCAATAGAAATGCGTCTTTGCTCCCACCCTCCAAAGGGAAGGAAATGTAATCTGTTCAAAACCTGGGAAAACAGCAAAGTTATTCTGGATTGCTTTTTTTATGTTCTTTGCTTGCAACAATAACAGAACAAAAGTCACTCCATAAAAAAGTGTAAAAAGGTGAACTGATTTGATGTGGATTGAATGTGTGCTGTCTGTTAGAGTGCAAATGTTCCTGCTCACGTTCACACTGCATGACGTCCAGGTTGAACTGCTGAATGGCTCCCATGCTGATCTGCTTGAGCTCTGAGTCGAGGAGCATCTGCATTAACGACGTGGACAGATGCTTACAGGCCGACATGCACGCCGTCTGCGCCACTTTCCCCTGCAGAGGCACCGATTGGGGATGGAGCGGTAATAACGTAGAGCAGGAAGCAATCAGGTCAGAAAGACAGAAGAAAAGATAAAATCGGGACGAGGATGAAAGAAGGAGGGAAACCAAAGGGTAGAAAAAGGTCAGTTTCAACAAGGTGGGGGAAGATGGACAGAAGACAAACAGGTAAAAAACGGTCAATATAGAGACAGGAGAAACTTCTGGATCAACAGGACTATGAATGGAGTGAAGAACGCAGACCCAACAGCTACAGTAAGAACAGAACCTGCTCCAGGAGGCCATGGACCCACAGAGGCAGGAACTTCTGGGTCGGAAAGAGAAGTTCAGAAATATTGGCTTTTAAACCGTTTTGATTGGCTGATGAAGGAGTGAAGAGAGAAATGCGGTGAGATGAAGAGCAGCAGCTCGTCTGCCTATCCTCCTGATGTCTGTCTCTATGGCGACACCTCTCCCTGCCATATGTGTATATATTTTATCTCTTTTTATTCTTATTTTTTTTTATCTTTATTATATTGTGTAGTTGGATGTGTGTATATATTATATAAAACTGGGATTATTAAAGTATTTCTGATTCTGATTCACATTAACCTTTTCACAAGAAAAATCAGCTCAAACTTTGCAAACACAAAACTGTTGTTTTATGTCTGCATACCGTTTCCATGGTTACAAGCAGCCCACCTGCAGCAGGGGCGGAGCCTTTCTATTACCTGGCTGATCCCCCTGATCCCACAGCACACTGGAAACCAGTTTAACCAATCACAGCTGCTCCTCAGATGTAACCAATGAGAGCTGCTAACATCTGAGGAAGGACTGTGATTGGTCAGAGTGTAATTCTACTAACATTTTACTAACTTAAACTAATTACAGTTAGGAAAAAAAATCCAATTAGATTTTTGAATCCCAAATCCCATGATACTTGCAGCTTGCAAAGCATTCTGGGATATATCTGCTCATCTAGTAACCATGGATGATCACTACTTTTCAAGGTGCATTGTGGGACATTTTTAGTCAACTACTTTTTCATCGACTAGATGTTTATACACTCATAGAAAAGTGCAACTCCTATAGTGCTCTATCGAGGGGTTAGGGATTAATGGTTAGGGTTTAGAGATTAGGGATTATGGATTAGAGTTAGGATTTAGGTGGCCGTTCTGACAGCCTGGAAACTGTTTAAACTGGTCTAATATTTTCTGTACTGTGTATTACTACAGGTCTGTGTTTTTTTCTATTACTGGAGTATTAATTTAGTGTAAATATGTTTTCTGCCAATCAGAGCAACTGATCTGGTTATTGGAGTTTGATTGCGTTTCTAAGTTAGTGATGAAAACGTTTCGGCTGCTCAGGGATGAGTGAAACTCCTCTGATGTGTGTTTATGTGCCTTTTGCTTTGACAAATGTTGGCTTATATTAATAACATGCAATAAATAATGTAGGTTTCTACATCACATTTGACAGCCAATCACTAAACAATGGTTTTATTGAAATATGTCAATGTGTATTTAGCCTGAAATGAATATTTAATGTCAGCATCCACCCAGAAGTTCCTGATCATGCATTAGCCCTGGTAGCCTGCTCCAGATCCCAGCCGGCTGCAGAGGGAGACATCAGTAATTCACAGGCTGGTATTTCCCAGGAATGTTTAGCTTTGATCGGTTCTGGTTCCCATCACTGATCTGATCCATGCAGGCTTAAAGTAAACATCAAACCAAACAGACAAAAGCATGCAGCCAGAAATGGAGGCAAACTAAACCGTCATCAGGTAGGAACTATTTTAAAGCCACAACAGCGTTACTGATATCCTTCCTTCTATTTTATAAAACAGTTGTTGCCAAAGTCCAGCAGACCAATAGGAATGCATCTTCACTTTTTTAAAGAATAAAATATGAACGTTGAAAAAAAGTTTTTAAAACTTTTCTTGATTCAGAAGTTTTTCTTTTTTTTTTCCCATTTTTAACTTTACAAAGCGTGCTTTGCTTGAAACAATAATGGAGCAGAATTCACTCCATACAGCTGGAACTGTGCAGTTATTCTTTAAACGGGATTGGCTAATTTTAGGAGCACTTAGGAGAGAAAAGCTGCCTGGAAAGGTCTAAAAACCTGTCATGGCCGACGGACAAACGGAAGACGACTGGAGGGAAGCCTGGTTTTAAATCTGCATCGGACTGTGAGGCTGGAGGACAATAAAAACCTAAACTCTTTATCTGATCCGATGTTTAGAGTGAGGCTCACACAGGGTAGAAGAGTGACCTCATCTACCCATCAGCCAATAGGAAGGCTTGTTTCATATTGCGTTTGCATCTGCATTTATTCATTTCTAGTTTAATCATGTTTATCAAAAAAATAAATCATTTCAATAACGCTTCCAGAAGCTGAGTGCTAACAGCTGACGATCCAAAGCTCTCTGTAAAACTAGCTTCTTCTGTGCGTCGATGCAGATTGAAGCTCCGCCCACTGGGGGCTGCAGCTTTCAGACTGAAGGAGGGAGCCTATGCTAAGCAGCTGTTAAGCAGTGTGCAGCCAGTCCACCCTGATGGCTGCTGCTAGCTCACAGCATTAAAGGCCTTCAGGGCCTTAAAGCTTGGCTGCATCTTCCTCCGGTCCTCCTCTCAGCATTGCCACGATCAGACGTCCTCTTGCAGAGTCTACAGATTTTCCCGCTTCCCATAAATGTCATTATTTAGGAACACAGGAGTGAAACCACAGGCCAAGAGCAGAGCATGCAGTCCATGTTCCCCAGCGGCTGCAAAATGGCAGCAGCGTGTCATGAAATCCAGGCAGACATACTCACCGACATCGACGCATGGTCATTGTTGTTATTCTGATCAGAAAACCCCAAACCAACCAAAAACAGAAGAAAGGGGGGAGGAGGGAAAGGACGGGAAAAAGATGCAGCAACAATAAATGGAAAGGAGGGAGCAAATCAAAGCAGTTATCATGGAGGCTCTAAGACTCTGAACACAGATCAAATCAGCAGAACTAGCATGTCTTTGGAGAGGGAGGGGGTGGGGAGCATTCAGGTAAAAAAAGAAAACACCGGACTGGACCGGGCCGGAGCTGAAACAATGTCAAAAGTTCAGGTAAAAACAAGAACTCATCAAACTCACCGGAAGATGAGTGAAAACCTGAAAAGTAGAGCGGAGGAAGTTGATGAGGTCCATGAGGTACCCTGAAGCGCGGCCGTCGGACTCGGCCATGCTCCACTCATAGTCCGCCAGCTGGATGAACTCGTCAATCTTCTGGTTCAGCTTGGTGTAGATTTCTCCCTCGGCAGCGTGCCGAGCATCCTGGAAAAGAGTCTCAGTGTTTACAGACCGGCTCGCCATGAGGAGCAGCTGAGCACAGGGCTGCGGAGGAGCTGGCTACCTGAACTGGATCGATTTACAAACATGGAGGTTATTAGGATCATTGTGATGATTCATCTCTGTGCTTCATAAACCCTGATATTATCTGCCTGGTATCATTTTTTCCAAGCAGTTTATCTCATTGGGACTGTTCCTCTGTCAGGATAAACAGTTAGCATCAACTATCACTGGTTATCAGCAGTTGTCATCGGTTATCCTAAATTATCACAAATGATCAGTTCTCATCAGTTATCATAGGTTATCATCAATTATCATCAGTTAGCGTCAGACGATCATTCCTAACCGAGTTTGTCACTGTGCATTCTGGTTGGCCTCGATCTAAGAACAGCGAGTTGGTGATGTCTCCTAATTAGGGGTGGGTATTGCCAAAGAAGTCACGATTCGATTCGAATCACGATTCACAGGCCACGATGCGATTCTATCACGATGCATCACGATACTTGAATTATTGCGAAGCATTGCAATATTTTCTCCTCCATGTTTTGTTTTGACTCGGCGCAGTATCCTGCTGCCGGAAATGCTTGAGACACAAGGCAGCGTGCGTCAACACATCCGCAGCGACATCTACTGGACTGGAAGTTGTATTACACTTGCAAAAAAAAAAATCATACAGAGTTAGCCTGACTTTACTTGGACGAGTGGCCATACCAAGACCCCCCCTTTGCTCTTCACGGCTAAGTAATTCTGCCTTAGAACGGCTCCACTGCGTCAAACTAAAGTCTTTCAGCTCTATCAGCCAGGTGAGGGCAGCAGGTTACCTTAAAGGTGGACAGGCCATAGAGCCTGGTGGTGTGAACGGTTTCAGGGGAAATGTTGGTGATGTTGGTGATGAACTCCTCCAGATATTTACAGGCCTGCTCCAGGTGAGTGGTGTTGATAATGATCTGCACCAGCTGCAGAGGGAAAGTTGACAGTTTTCACAACAGACGACTGAAGGTCACGGGGAATGGATGAGACCTGGAGCTGGGCCCACCTCAGTCAGCCCTATGTGCGGTTTCTTAGTCAGGTTCTGCAGACAGCTGCTCAGAGTCCTGGTCAGCAGCAGATTGGTGGATTTCCTCAGCATGTCGTCGATCTCTGTGGAACTGAGAGAACACAAACACTTAGATTCAGGAGAGAATCCAGACCTGGAGAAACCTCCAGCAGGATCTGCAGATGAATCTGCTTTAAGAAAAGAACCAGAAGAGTACCTGCGGTGCAGCGACTCGGAGAACTTCAGGCTTGCGTAGATGAACTCTTTGACCTGTGTGTAGATCTGAGGGACAGACTGTGACATCGGCAGCTTCTTAGGAAAGTCCTGCTGCTCACATAAACAAAGCACAGCTGAACGTGACTGAGAGGAATGAGAGCTGAGGAAGATGTGCAAATGGCTGCATGGAGGAACCTTTTCGATCTCAGGATCATGGAAGGGAAAGCGACTGGTCACCAGTTTATACTCCTCCTCTGTTTCAACTGGGATGGGGCTGTAGTTGTCCGATTCAAAGATCTCTCTGCACACAAAGCAGATTCAGCACAGAGTTCATCTCTGCTTTTAACGCAACAGCAGCAAAGATTATAGAAGATTGATGTGACCAGAAATATGGCAACTTTCTGGTTTAATCTCTATCATTTTACAGTGAGAAACATTATTCATATGGAACCCAACCCTCAGCACGAGTTCACTGTAATTTCAGAATAGGCCAACCAAGGGTTCTGACCCTCAGGGACTCACTACTGGAGTCATGGGTTTGAACTGCTGCCCTGAAAGGATCGGGGCAGCATGACTGGATCTGAACCACCTGCAGAACAGCTCCTGCTTCTCCCCACAGACCAGCGTCAGTCACTGATGAGCGGGCCCCACCTGAAGACAGCAGCCCATTTCTTCAGCAGCGTCTCATTGTACTGGTCCCGCACCTCGAACAGCAGGTCAAAGAGTCGGCTGACTGGGAAACCGTAACCCTGCACAGAGAGCCACACGTCTCAATCCAAACTTTGATACGCGCCGATGAGATGTAGCAGAGCGGAGCAGACCTGCAGTGTGTCAGCGCAGATAACGATCAGGTTCTTCAGCTCCAGAACCAGGTCTGGGTCTTCACAGTAGGACTGCGGGGGAAAGGAAATCGACAGAGGATGCAGAGAAGAACAACGGTCCTGATTGTTACACAGATTATCGAAGGATTGCATTTTATCACCATGACAGATTATAAGCATAAAGATCTAATGTTTCTAGTTGGATCCATCCATCCATCCATTTTCCAACACGCTTAATCCCAAGTGAGGGGTGCTGGTGCGAGGGGTGCTGGTGCCTATCTCCAGCTGTTTACGAGGCTGGGTACACCATGGACAGGTCCCCAGTTCATCGCGGGACAACACAAAGACAAACAGGACCAACAATCATTCAAGCACACACTCACACCTAAGGAGGATTTAGAGAAGCCAATTAACCTAACAGACATGTTTTTGGACAGTGAGAGAATCCACACACACACAGGGAGAACATGCAGACTATGCAGAAAGACCCCGGGCCAGGAAGTGAACCCGGAACCTTCTTGCTGCAAGGCAGCAGTGCTACCCACTGAGACACAGAGCAGGTCAATATTATTTTTTTAGATCCTCATCAGAGCAAAAACAGACATTTATTTTACATTCAAGGAACTGTTCCTCATAAAGTTAAACTAGAAGCCTGTACACATCTCAACCAATAATAGAAGATATACGGGCTGTCGTTTCCTAACTCCACAGTCCAAAATGATCATAGTGGCCCTTGCTGGAAACAACAGCCCTAGAAGCAGCAGCAGACCACAGAGGGTCGGTAAGGCTTTGTCAGCGTGCTGCATCGTTAGCATAATCCTGTCAGTCATTTCCACCTGAGTGGGATCTAGCAGGAAGATGGCCTCCTAATCTGCTCTAATCTGTCTCCAATTGAACCACAGGCACCCTTTCTGTGGGTCCGGATGGTGACATCATTGACGTCATTGTCTCTACATGTCAGTGTGTGAGACACACAAAGAGTGAGACCTACAGAGTGTGAGTCCAACAGAGTGATATAGACCCACAGAGTGTGAGACCTACAGAGTGTGAGACCTACAGAGTGTGAGACCTACAGACAGTGAGAGACCTAAAGAGTGTGAGACCTACAGAGT